TTTTAAGATCTCCTAAGGAAGGTGAGGAGAGAGTCCTGGAGCCCCAGGGTCTGAGCTCAGAGTCAGAGCCAGTCTCTGGTCATGGGCCAGGCATCTGGCCACTTCCTTGGGAAGTCCAATTGCTCACAAGGTTCCATCTTAGAGAGTGAAATCGAGACGCTCTAGGCTGATGGTTGAGGCTGGGTCATGGCCACCATCCAGCTGTATCTCTGGATAACACTCCAGTGCTGCTCATACCTGCTCTCCTTTCCCACCCAGGAATTTCCACCTTGGTTCTCTCTGTTGATGTAGGTAGCTTCCAGGAAAAGCCACCTCTGCTGTCTTCTCAGAGGTCTTGCCAGACTGGATGCTTCCATCGGCTCCAGAAAAGTTGCCAACTTTTCTGGATCAAATCTTGAGTGTTTCTGCCCCTACTTGGGTATTTTCGCCTCCTGCGCCTCTATATTATCCACCTTCCTACAATCCTCCTTTGCAGGGCAAGGATGGCAGTAATGGAAATTTTGTGCCATTACTTACAAAGACAAATGGCCTGTGAGCCTTTTAGGATTAATTTAAAAGCCATTTGTCTAGTGGTAATAACTGGAAATGGAGTTCCGCTGTAGGCCGGTATGGCTTCCTCCAGGAGCAGGGGATCTGCTAACGGTGTACGGCTGCCCCAAGGACCAGTTGGCAGAGGCTGTTTCAGACTTACCCACTTTTTCCACTGGAAGGAACTGAAATGGGGAAAATGACATTTTGAGGGGACTGTGAGCTCACAGAGGGCTTTGGAGAGAGGCAGACACTTTTCTTTGGAGCCCAGTGTGGAAAGTTCCAAGTTGTTTGTCTTATACATCCAGTGGACTAAAAATAGAACTAGGTTCAGAGGGGTGGGATTATGACCATCAGTGTCACCAGTTCGAACCCTTGACATCTGGACGTATTGGGCTTTATCTTTGTCCTCTCTTTTTTAAGAGCTTGCAGGAAAATTTGAGTTTTGGCTTTGATGCACCTCAGAAGTAAAATTTCTCAGAACACTGATGCTTTTTCCTTTAGACAAAAAAGCTTTTACTTGATTCATTCCGGAGAGACAGTTTTAAAAAATATAATACTTGTGCCTCTTTAAGGGAATTGTTGCAGAGACAAATGTCCACAGATTACACAGGACTGTTATTTTAAATGTCTTTCTCTGCCCTTCTTTTGTTCATTATATGCTGTTTTACAATTACATCATTTTATGTATCTTGGTATTTCATATATATTTACTCCTTATTTGGATGGGAAAAAACTGATGGAAACATCCCAAATGGTAAAATAAATGGTAGCGTGTTTACTCCAAGGGCTACTTTGTGGCCTTTGGAAATGAGGTGGGAGACTGTTGACATAATAAGTGGAATAGTGGAAAGAAGTTTGTGCAGTATCACTAAGTGATACAGGCAGCCTGCTAAATAGTGTTTACATCAGGATGGCTTGGGAAATCTTGATGAGCTCTGACTCTAGACCGTTCAAATCTATGAATGAAGATGCCAAAGTGCTTAGCCTTAGTTAAAAATTCTGTGCACTCAGTTAAAGGATTCCACACAAAGGACGTAACATTCACTGATTACCTACCACGCGCCAGGCACTGTTTCAGGAGCTTTCATACATGATCTCTGTTAATCCCGATAATCATGCTCTAAGGTTATCTTTGTTCAAGATGAGGAAGCAAAAGCTAAGAGACGTTGCATCACTTGTTCAGGTACGTACAGCTGACAGAGAGTGGTGCTAGGATTTGAGTCTAACATAACTGACTGCAAAGCCCATGTTCCTTCTCTTACCGCTGATCTGCTGCCTCAGTAATGCTGCATGATGCATGACAAGCAACCAAACCTCAAGTGTATGCAACAATCAGTGTTTACTGCTCACGCCTCTGGGGTCAGCAGGGAGTTGGCTAGGCACTTCTGCTTGGCTGGACTCACTTATATGTCTAGTGGTTGGCTGGCCACAGCTCATCTGGGCTGGCCTTGTCTGCGGTGATGAGGGTGGCTCGGTCCTGCTCCACATGTCTCTCACCCTCCAGCAGGATAACCGGGCATGTTCTCACAGCAATAATAGCACAGGTGGAGGAGAGCAGGAGGAATCACACAGGCCCTTTGAGACCCTTACTGGGAACTGGCACACTGTCATTTCTGTTGGCCAAACCAAGACACATGACCAAACTCCGTGTCAAAGGGGTGGGAAAAGGAACTGCAAAATGATGCAGTAAAGGGCATGGACACAGGAAAGAGTGAAGGACTGGGGCCGTTAAAGCAATCAGCCACATACAACAAGCTGCCATCTTCACATAGGTGTTCTGAGAACTTCATCTGGGCATTCGCCTAACCTTTTAAAGATCTTGGTAAAATGGTCAGGTGCTGTGGCTCACATCTGTAATTCCAGCACTTTGGGAGGCCTGGAATTACTGAAGTGGATCACTTGAGGCCAGGAGTTCGAGAACAGGCTGGCCAACATGGTGAAACCCTGTCTCTACTAAAAATACAAAAATTAGCCAGGTGTGGTGGCACATGCCTTTGAGCCACAAGAATCACTTGAACCCAGGAGGTGGAGGTTGCAGTGAACTGAGATCATTCCACTGCACCCCAGCCTGGGTGACAGAGTGAGACTCTGTTTCAAATAAAAATAAAAATAAAATCTTGGTAAAGTTATGTGTGGGTGGGATGGGAACAACGAAGTTAGGAGAATAGGGAGGCTGGGTGGGAGCAGATATGGATTTAAGCAAAATAACTTCATTCTACAGTATTTTATTGGCTGTGCTAAAAGGGGAAAATGGATAAATTTGTTGGATGCTGAATAAATCGAAGTTAAGGTTTATCTACTGCAATACCTCTAGTACCTTTAACATTACCATATGCATTATGACTATATGGGAGGTATACTGCATGTTTCCCAGACTAAGCATGAGATTCTTTTTATGCAGCCTACCTCTTAACCTCCTAGAGAGTGTTCTGGGAAACCCGGTTTGGGAAGCACTAGACCACATGATTTTTAAGGTACTAGTTTGTGGCATAGGACACACTCTGGGACTATTCAGGGAAGAAGAGGGGTTTTATTGTTGTGGTGTTATTGTTGTTTTCTACCCCATGCTAAACGGACCCAAATTCATGACCCAGAAAGAAAACAGACAGCAGAACTGTTTCCGTAGCACTTTCTTGGCCAGATTGCAGTGTATTACTGCTGCCAGTCCTTCTTGCTGCTGGGCTCTGGCTCTTAGATGTGGCATCTGTGCAGGAAGCTAAAGGGCGTCCAAAGCGTACAGTGCACAAGCTTTATGAAAGTTACAGTTGTCCTGACGAGGCATGATGGCTTACATCTGTAATCCCAGCACTTTGGGAGGCCGGGGCTGGTGGATAACTTGAGGTCAGGGGTTCAAGAATAGCCCGGCCAACATGGTGAAACCCCATCTCCACTAAAAGGTGTGGTGGCGGGTGCCTATAATCCCGGCTAGCTGGGAGGCAGAGGCAGGAGAATCACTTGACCCTGGGAGGTGGAGGTTGCAGTGAGCTGAGATCATACCACTGCATTCCAGCCTGGGTGACAGAGCAAGATTCTGTCTCAAAAAGAAAAAGAAAAAAAAGGAAGTTACAGCTGTCCCTCAGTGGCTATGGGGGTTTGCTTCCAGGACCCCCTTCAGACACCAAAATCCACAGATGCTGAAGTTCCTGATAAAACATGGGGTAACATTTGCATGTATCTAACACACATCTTTCTGTATACTTTAAATCATCTCTAGACTACTTACAATACCTAATGCAATGTGAATGCCATGTGACTAGTTGTTATACTGTGTTGTTTAGGGAATAATTGTAAGAGAAAAAACGTGTACATGTTTAGTACAGACACAACCATCCTTTTTGTCTTTTAAATATTTTCCATCTGAGGTCAGTTGAATCCACGGATACAGAGGGCCGGTTGTATTTATTCCTAGCTATTCTTGTCACTGCCCAATGGGTATTAATATAGTTCTATGTGTTTGAGATTTCTGCAAGCCTTTCCTTCACGCAACTGCCATCATAGGAATACAATTGCAGGAGGAAAAGTAGCTCAATTAGAAGAACAATTGTCACACACTTGAGGAACATACACTTGAATGTATCCACCATGCCAATGATAAGCTGTGATTTTTTCTATTTGGGAAGTGGAACCACAGGATTTATATTTGTCAATTTTTGTTAACCTCATTCAAAGCCCTTTGTGTATATGAAAATATCAATGCAATATGAAAAAGAAAGAAATCTGTAACTCAGACTTTTCACAGAAGTGTGGTGTGACTTACCGCAGAGGGGTTTTGTTGGTTGCACAGATTCACTATTTCTCGGCCAAATAATGACCAAGCATTGCTGTCCCATGCCCTGCCTCATGCACCTTCTGATTGATTCAGCCTGTGCATTCATCTGTGACCTGTCAACCAAAAAGTGACTGAGACAGATCTCAATGGATTTAGAGGTTTATTTTGCCAAGGTTGGGGACATGCCTTAGAAAAAGAAACCCAAGTCACAGTAGGATCTGCATCCTATGCTTTTTCCAAAGAGGGTATTGTGAACCTCAGTATATAAGGGGGACAGAGCAAGTGAAAGGGGAAGAAAAAAGGAGGAGAGTGAGTAGCCATTAGGCAAGCAGTCACATTTCTGTGAGGTGCTGATGAGCACTCAGTGAATCTTTATTTTACACATGAAAAGAAGGGAATGGGGGAAAGTCAATTATGCATTCCTCTCTGGCTAAGTGAATCTACATTTTACATGAGCTAAAGTAAGCATGTGAGATTACAGCTATCTGGGAGCACAAGGAAAACAATTTTTGCCTGACCCAGTTCCCAGGTTTAACTCTTCCCTTTGGCATAATGAGTTTAAGGTCCTGAGATTTTATTTTCTTTTTCCCAGACCCCTGTCTGGTCAGGACTGAGAGGCAATGATATTACTTCCACTCCCCTTCACCTGGGAAGTGGGAGACTGGATCCTTGGACCTTTTTCTGCCCAATCCCTTTCCTTTGGATCTGCATCCCTTGGTCTCTGACTTGGACCCTGCTGTTCACATATACCAGCCAAACAACCTGCTGGGAGTCCAGCAGACAGCGGAGTTGGGGCCTACAAGTAACATCAGACAACTGACTCTTACCTTCCTTTGGATGCTCAACAACTGTGGCCATAGCTGTTTTAGCAGGGCTGGTACCATTCTTCCTGAGATCGTGTCTTCTGTGGTTACAGTCCTGGGATTCACAGCCCCTGCACCTGCATGTGTGATAGTGTGTGAACTGGAGCTCTTTGGAACTTTGAGTTCATTTACATAGCACATTTCTCCAGTGCATATGAGTTATTCATGAGTGTGTGTTATTTATGATTTGAAATTTAATTTGAACATGCCAATTTTTTCTTACTCCTCAGTTTTCCCTTTCTCTCCCTCTCTAGCTCATGCAACACTTCAAAGAAATTTGGGTTTCTTTTCTGAACGCTGTGGGCTCCTAACTTTTTACTTAAAAGGGGAGGGGAGCACTCAAAAGCCCAGGTATAGAGGAGCACCTTGTCCAAGATGACTTAATGAGTTGGTGGAGGATCCATGGGTAAGCTCAGGATTCCCAGCCCCAGAGGCCTTCCCTCTCCTCTTCTTCATTCACTTCTCTGCTAGGAAAGCTAATTGATGAGGGGCACAGGGCACCTCTAACTTGCTCTATGCTCGGGCTTTCCACCTGGAAAAGGCTCCATATGGATGAATGTCCAGTGATTACTTCCCTCTGCCAATTAGAATTCTCAAAAGCAGAGAGAGATTCTGTATTGCTCATTAGAAGGTATGAATGGAAAAACTACCAAGGACAGACCTCTAATTAATTCTCATCAGGGTGTCCCCCGAGGGAATTCAGTTCTCTCCTTCCTCTGCTCCATCCTGTTCCCCACGTGTCATGACCTGAGCAAAAGACAAGTTCAGTTCCCACAGGTGCACCGGCCTACTCTCCTAAATGAAAGAGAAGAGAAGTGTTGAGAACTGATCTCCCCACTCCTGCTCCCGAAAACAGGAAGCAGCCTGGATAGATTGACTTGATACAGAGCTATCAGACTGCTGCTGGCTCACACGGGGACCTTTATCACTGCCAGTCATCAGCGCTCTGGCGAGCTCATGAATAATGCATTTCCCAGTGATTTCCTTCCTTATTTGCCAGCCTGAGGCAATATTGATTGAAAAACAAGTCTACATAGCTGAGCTGTGTTGGGGCAACATTTATTGAAAATGATTTGGATACAGAACACACATGTTTATCTCTATATAGGTATGTTGTTGTCTGTTGTCTGTGGGTAATGACATTTGTGTAAGGGGCCACAGCAATTATTCAGCAATGTTTTCAAATCGAAGGTGGATTTAGGTTGGAGCCCCGAGTTAGGTAGAAACAGCTGTGTGGTGTGGTAGATCAGAAAGATGAGGCAAAGTGGGAGGTGGACTGGGAGGAGGCGGAGGTGAGCGAAGGGGGAGATGGTGGACTGGGAGGAGGCAGAGGTGGACTGGGAGGGGGAGATGGTGGACTGGGAGGAGGCAGAGGTGGACTGGGAGGGGGAGATGGTGGACTGGGAGGAGGCAGAGGTGGACCGGGAGGGGGAGATGGTGGACTGGGAGGAGGCGGAGGTGAGCTGGGAGGAGGTGGAGGTGAGCTGGGAGGGGCGGAGGTGAGCTGCGAGGGGGAGATGGTGGACTGGGAGGAGGCGGAGGTGAGCTGGAAGAGGGAGATGGTGGACCGGGACCGGGAGCGGGAGATAGTGGACCGGGAGGAGGCGGAGGCGGACCGGGAGGAGGCGGACTGGGAGTGGGTAACCTGGGAGGAGATAGACTGGGAGGAGGAGGAGGTGGACTGGGAAGAGATGGCCTGGGATGAGGTGGAAGCGAATTGGAAGCTTGTGGGTGACAGGAAAGATACGGTAGAGCCGTTGAGGACTCAGAAAGGGCGCTGGGATTAGAACCTTAGCATTAGTGGTCTCTCAGGGTATCTTCGTCCTGTCACAGTCCTAGTTTCCTGTTCTTTGGATGATTGTGTGACTGCCTTGCAAAGTAGACTCATAGAGGCAAGAGCCATGTCTGCTTTTTTTCCTTTTTTTTTTTTAAGACAAAATCTCACTCTGTTGACCAGGCTAGAGGGCAGTTGTGTGACCATGGCTCATTGTAACCTCAAACTCCTGGGTACTGAAAGCAGCTCCACTCAGTGTGGAAGAAGGAGATGTGCAGGTCATGAAATGGAGAGGGCGTATGTGAAGTCTTCTTTTTTCACAACTTGAGATTGAAGAAAAGGTGGGAAAGGTAACCCTATTGCTAACTAAGACAACTGAGAAGACTTTTTGGGAGACCTGTTAACTTCTTGAGCAGTTTCTGTAACACACCATGAAAGTACCTTCCAAACAGCAGGAAGACATATGGATGGAAGAGCTTTAGGTCCTGATTCTTAACAGCAGGATGCTGCAGTCAGTGATAGGACAGACCTGAGTGTCGCTGGCCAGCCGCAGGGGGCTCTCACCTCTCCGAACCTCCAGCGCTTCTTGGGCTCTCTCTAGAACTTCAGTAATAGTGGCTTCTCCACCTCCATCACTGACAGACCCCAGAAAATGCAGGCTTGAGGCTCGAATGACTGGGAGAGAAGAGTGTAAGGGAACACAGCGGAAGGAGCCTTCTCCCACTCCCCCCCACTTCCTGTGACACCCTTCCAGTACCAGTCTGGCACTTGCTGAACTCTCTCAAGAGCTTTCAGAGGGAAAGCCCAGGGTGGTGAGGGGAGGGCTGTGTGAAGCCAGTGCATGCTTCGGAAGGAGAATTTAGTTCCTTGAAGAGGGTTCTCTTCTTGGAATCCCTGAAAGCTTGTGTGACAATATAATTAAGTGGGAGGCCACGGCAGCCTGTCAAATTCTAAGTGTGCTTCTGGCTTGCCCGAGGTGGTGGGTCGGGGAGTGGGGACGGGAGCATCAGGCCTGCCATCAGCAGCACAGAAATCCCAGGTATGTGTTTCTCTCTGTCAGTTCCTGAGAATCATAAATGAAGTAAACAGAGGCTCTGAGCCAGGAGCCTTCAGCAGGTGAGGATGCCGGCTACCCACCAGCACAGCCACTGCAGCTTCAGCCCAACAGAGCAGCCCACCTTGGCCTCTGCTCCACAAAAGCTCAGCCTCCTGGTCACTAAGAGTGGTTAGCACTTATGTTTCACTGTCGCAGCCCCTTTGCAGGAGTGTTGCCCACAGGTCATCATCACATTTGCCCCTCGAATATGGTGCAACCAGGCGGAGGGAGATGGACTCAGCGATGTTCACCTTCTGTCTCTCCCCTGTTTTTGGTGCTCCTTCCCACCAGTCTGTCAACACTGTCCCATCCCCACCCCAGCTCCCTTCAGTGTTCTTGGGGTGCTCAGTCCACTGTTCATAGGCCTTTACCTGTGCTGTTCTCTACCAGGGGTGCCTTCCCTCTCCTTGTTTACCCTTCAGGAGGCAGCTTGAGGAGCCTGGAGTCATCCTGCAGAAGTTCACCCCTTACTCTGCCAGGGCAGGGCAGCCTTCTTGACCCCATCATGGGCTCTCAGGGTATCTTCGTCCTGTCACAGTCCTAGTTTCCTGTTCTTTGGATAATTGTGTGACTGCCTTGCAAAGTAGACTCATAGAGTCAAGAGCCATGTCTGCTTTTTTTTTCTTTTTTTTTAAGACAAAAATCTCACTCTGTTGACCAGGCTAGAGGGCAGTTGTGTGACCATGACTCATTGTAACCTCAAACTCCTGGGCTCAAGCAATCCTCTTGCCTTGACCACCCAAGTAGTTGGGACTACAGGTGCACACGACAGCACTGGGCACTTGTATCTGCTTTAGTTTACCCTGTTTTCCTAGCGCATTTAGTGCTGGTGCAAAGTAGATGCTCAGTTTTTGTTTAATGAATGGACTGTCAGGGCTCCTTCTAGTCCTCTTTAGAAAGGGATTTGATGAACTCATTCACTCTGAGACATTAGGGAGCCAAATGTATTTTCCCACTTGGCACATTTGCTCAAGGAAGAGAAACCCAGGTAAGAGAATGGCTAACACAAAGAAACACATCTCCAGTGGTGCCATTCCAGGTATCAGGTGCAGGCAGTATTTTGGGTCAGGGAGCATTACTAGTGCTTGAAATCTCCATTTGGAGAAATCTCCATTTGCCCTACATATAAAGGTTGCCCTTGGTTCCTACTTCTGGTGACCCTGGGGACTGAACAGGAGTGAAGCTTATCTACTTCCATTTTTTTGGTACCCAGGCGGTCTTGGGGACTTCAGTGCTCTGTGTTTTGGATTTTCAGTTTCTCCCATTTGCTGAGTAGCAAATGGAACTGAGAGTTTGCACTTTCCTCCCCTGACCTTGTTGGGTGGGAAGCTTGAAGCTGGAACTCCTCTACATGCTTGTTTCTTTGCTTTTGCTCACCTGAAAGGAAGACGCTGGAAGGGAAGGCTGATTTCCTCTGCAGGGTATGGATGGCTGCAACCTGGACCAGCAGACTTGCGTTTATTTGAAATGGCTCCACGGTGGAAGGTGCTCTAATCTATCATGCCTCTGCAAACGTCAATTGGAGCAACGTGAGTTCCGTATTTATAAAGCCAGAAAAGTGGGGGCTTGTCCCCCCACCTCCCAGGTGTGCATTTATGCATTGATGAATGACCCCAAAGTGGGTTTGTTATAGAAAAAGTCCGTGCCAAAGGCAGAAAGTCTGCATCTGGAAACACAGTTGGACAATTAGGCCTCTGAGCTTAGCGGCCGGTGCTCAGGCTGCACTGATTCCTGGCTTTGACTATCCCGTCCTTAATTCTGGGGTGAACCCAAGAGCTTTGGAACTTGGATTCTCATTGTTTTCACAGTACTGTCCCCTGGGGCTGCTTTTGTGTTTGGTTGTTTTTGGTGCTGGGGGTGGAGTTCTAAAAATCTTGGAAGCCCATAAAAATTAGTACAGAAGAACAAAATTCTTACCCTGGTCTTGTCAGGGAGACCTGGCCCTGCCCACTTTCCCCTTGGGGAACACACACACCTGTACCGAGACATGACCCCCGATCCTGATTCCTGTCTCAGGCACCCCTCTCCCTTCCAAACTAGCCGCTCCTTTCTTGCTTACTAAACAATGGGATCCTTTATTTTAAAAAGAAGGGTGAAATAATGACACTTCCAAAGTGCCATTTACAAAAGGGAACAGGAGTGAAAAATTAGGACAAGCTAAGCCAAAAATGATGTGCCCCTCTTGCGCTCTTGTGTGTCTCTCTTTTCACGGGGTATCCCCAGGTGAGGTCTGAGTGGAGTCATGTCTGACTAATTGCTGCCTTGTGTTTTATGCACTGCAGAAAACATAGCTGCTGTGAAAGGGTTAAAAATGAGCACTCTTAGTCAAGAGCCCTAAGCGACAGACGGGCACGTTCAGTTTCAGTCAGAAAGACAGACAAGTGTTTGGTTAGTAACTGGATCTGGCTGGAGCTGGGTTTTGGCCTCTGGTCCCTCTGCAGGTTGAGGAGCTGGGGATGGTCCCGTTCTCATGATTATTTGGACGTAGAATCCAGGCAGGCGGCCCTGGAAGGCAGGGCCTGGGAGGTGCTGCCCTCCCCTCCTTTACACAGAAGGAAGCCGAGGTCTGGTGAAGGTTGGGAAATTGATCTGGGTCATCCTGGATAGTGGCAGAGCAAAGACCAGAGTGAGGAAGCCTCACTTCCAGACCTCGTGGGTTGTATTAGAACATGGACTCAAGTAGCCATAGACTCAGTGCTGTTTCAGCCACTTCTTGGCTGGCTTGCCCCCTGCAAATCCGTTCAGAATTTACCTCTCCATTTAGAATCCTCATGTGTAAAATCGGGTTCAAAAATGCCTCTTAGGCTGGGTTTTTGTATTAAATGAGACGGTTCATCTAAACACTGGAGGCTTAGGCACTCAGCAAAATGTTCATTCTCCAGTGAACAGGAGTTCTCCCAGGCTTCAGACAGTTTATGCAGATGGAAAGGCAGCTTCTGAAGCAGGAAGGATGTAATTAACCTGTAATGCCAAATCCAGCATCCCCGTTGAAGTCCTATACACTCTCAGCACAGCCGGTTAGTGGAAGAACTCCATATCAAAGGGAAAGGTAAAAGGAATGGGGGGAATAAAAGAGCCTTTTCTGTGCAAAGGGGAACTCATCCCAGAGGAGCCCCCTGTGAACAATGCCCAAAGAAGGCCTGTGAAGTTAGTGAGGCCTGGAGATTAGAAGGAGGGAGGAAATAATGCTTTTCTTGTCTTGGCCTGCAGTGGCAAAGAGAGCAACAGCTGGTGGGCATATGCAGCCTGTTAGAGAACACTCCCATCATACGAAAGGAAATCCTGCCTAGCGCTGGCAGGGTCTGGGCAACCACTGGGTAGTGGGCTGTCCAGGGGGTCTCAGGAATCAGAGCAGTAGCTTCCAAGGCCCTGGGCCCTACACTCACTCCCAGCAGCTTGAGCAGGTCCTCCCTCCCCTGCTCTGGCCCCTAAGGCCCTTCCCCTTCCCAGGAGGTGTCGGATCTAGTGATGCTATCCACAGAAACTCCGAGGAAGCTGGTGTTTTATTTTGCATTGACTTCAAAACATGTATGAATTTCCCCTCTCTGGCTGGGTCCAGACAGGAGACTTTGGCCCACTCTGCAGCCCAGAATCCATTTCCCCAGCCAGGCTGGGCAGCAAGCAGCCTTCTTCCCCTTCCATGTCTTCCTTTACCAGCAGAAAGGATCAAACTCCTGAGACCAGGGCCAGGGCTGCCTGCTTGGCCCCTCTCGTGCCCTCAGCCTTCGAGCTGCTGGACCATGTGACAAGATGCCCAGCATTAGCATCTGCTAATTAATCCAAAAGCTGGCTCCCCGTTGGCCCATAGAGTTTTAAAAACCTGAATTAAACGAAGTGTTTATGTGACAGATATGTGGGAGGGATTTCAGATATAATCACCATCAATCTGGCTGCAGCCAAAATAAATTCTGTGAAAAGTAAAACAAACTATTGCACAGACAAAGTAGGCCTTAGGGGTCTCCAGCAATAATCTGTGTTTTCTTATTTAGCCGTGTCTAATATTTCTGCTCTTTTCAAAGTAGATAGGATCTGGGCGCACAGGGCACTCTTGCTGCAGCTGACAGAGGTGGACGCAGGCTCCCTCCCACTGAGTGGAGGGAGAGGGGAAGGGATGTTGCATATTTACATTTAAATTCTTAGTTCAAATAAACCAGCTCTGGCTAGGCAAGGGGGAGGGGAGGGAGCTCAGCTGTAAGGCCCAGGCCTGCCATGGTCCCTCATCCTCCAGACTGCCTCAGCTGGGCTGTGGTTGGGGCAGGAAGGAGGAAGTCAGAGACCTGGTCCTCCAGAGAACGCTGGGGAAGGAGCCCCACGACACTTGGGAAGCTTTCAGAGCTGCTCTCCTTCAGTTATTTCAGCACTCCTGCGAGGAAAGAGAGTGAGGAAACTGAAGCCCTGGTGTAGTAAGGACTTGCCCCGCTCTGTGGTGAGGCTGGAGCTAAAGGGAGAGGAACTGGACTCAGACATTCCTCTCGAGAAGAAGCCTTTCAGCACCTGGGTTGGCCCAGCCTGGCTGCCCTGCTCCGTGTTCCTCCCACCTCCACAGTGGAAACTGCTCCAGGCTCCCTGCCTGCTATGGTTCAGCTTGTCCCCAGTTCCCAGCCTAGGCCAGGGCTGTGGTTGGGGATGCTGAGGGTCTCCAGACTCTTTCTCCTGAGCTGCCTGTTCCACCCATCAGGTAACTGATCACAGCGCCAGCCTGGTTCCCGGGCT